GACGTTTCGAAAGCGTACAGGCTTCCATCGTCGGAGGTTGCTGTTTGTACACGCCTCACAGTCTTTATAGGTGTTATAACTGGCTTCTCGTCCGCTCTCCGTCTATTGGTGCTAGATCCCCGGCATGTACAAACAACAACCTCTGACGATGCAAGCGTGTACGCTTTCGAAACGTCAGGATATTATGTCCACTATTCCTGAGATCGCCTCTTCTTATCATTTGTGTCCGGGGACACGCATTTTCGCTTCAATCAGCAATATATATGTGTGTAGAAAGAAGGCTCGTCGGAAACCGGAGTTTTACTCGTGCATTTTCGAGCTGGTGGCACTTGCTCTTCGTCAGACGGAATGAAAGTGAGGGCTAGGATTGTCGCACTTAAAGGTTTGAGGGGCAGAGGTCACACAGAAGAGGGGTAAGCATAATGGCAATCGCTTCAATTGGGACGGAACTGAAGTGGTCGACACGGCCAATACAAAACCGGCACGAGAATTGCTCGAAGTTTGGCATTCCGGCACACTCAGTAGTAACATGCATAAGGAACTTGATTCATATTACGCCGGTTTGCCCGCATGGTCGACGAACTTGCCTGAAATAACAACAGTCGATCCTTGCTCGGCCAATTGGAACTTCGCTGGTTCTGCAGCTCCCCCCGAACACATGGCTCACAATCGAGACGTTCCCACCCCCCCTTTCATTGGCAACGCCTATCGCAGTAGTGTTCGCGTCACCGTTCCCCCTCCCTCGCACCCTTACCCCTGTTCTATGTGACCTCTGCCCCTCAAACCTTTAAGTGCGACAATCCTAGCCCTCACTTTCACTCCGTCTGACGAAGAGCTAGTGTCACCAGCTCGAAAATTCACGAGCATAACTCCATTTTCCGACGTGCCTTCTTTCTACATTTATCATCTCGGAATGCATACTACTTCAGTTATTCATATATATGTGTGTTGAGTGAGACAGAGTACATTTGTGAAATTAACTTCGGATTTATCCAAACATTCATACACCAATACCAAGCAAGTAGCTAATAATATATAAGGAGAGCCGTAGAATTGTTTGGCGCACAAACTCAACTTGGACACTGTCATGAGTCAAATCAAGAGCAAGTAGCACAATGTGGAGTTCTAACTAAACAACCCAGTCAACTAATTGTATGCCGCTTACCCAGAACCTTGAGCCGACACTTGATCCCGTCTCTGGTCTTCTTGATTCTGTCTTCGGCGGGTGAGGGAATATAGGGTGCGGCAGATGAAAGGCAAGTCTACCATCAGCTAAAACAAACCCCCCAAGCGCAAATCACTGTCCCTGTCCCGCCATGATGTAGAGCACACGTTGGATATCGTCATAAACAACGGTCGGCCCTTTGTAGACTGCGACAGTATACATTTACCTTCGTTCTAGCTGTAACGCAATTTAATTGCTTGAAATCTCACTCGCAAGTGGGTTTAAGTTTGATTATAATTATCCGTGGGTGATGCTCCTGTGACGACTAGCCGCTCTGTATAGCTTCTGTGAAGGACCGCATTTGCTGAGTACAAATACACGTCTAAATTTAGGTATTCTCGCATATCCCTTGATGGGAAAAAGCATGTTTATTTTGATTTATTTATTTCCTGTAGCTAATATTTTGCCTAAATATACAATCAGAAAGTTATTTTGAAACTCCGAATGATCGCTGTATGTTAATGCGTACGATCCAGTTGCCTCGTCCGGTTCCTTCGGCACGATGCGCTCTCGAAAGCCTAATGAACTTGGAAGAAAGTGCAGAGGAAAGACTTAGGCCATAGGGTGCGGTATTTTTCTCGATAATATTATGTAATTTATAATTACTTCGTTTTGATGGTTAACTGTAGCCTGAGAAACGCCCGTGCGGAACCCTGGCACGAGCAGTTGCGAATTATATTGGTAGAAAATTTAACACAAAGCTGTGCATTTTCATGATAGAAACAAATCTCTTTTTAAATATAAATTTCTACAGAAACCCCTTGTAAGTAAAATCTGTCTTTGGTTTCTATGGCCTCAGAAGTTGCGTAAGCTGAGATCAGCTCGATTGTAGTTTCTTTCAATAAACGAGGTTCAGCTCCATAAACATTACATTTACTTTAGAGTTAGTAATTAAGTGCCATCGTGGGAAACAGGTCTGATCGACGAACTTATATGCGATAGACCAATTAAGACCATGAAAAACGCGATAATTATTTCGAATCTTGTGGAGCACGCCATCTATTCATAGTTGTGGCTGTTTAACAGCGATCATTATTCTCTAGGTAAATGTTAGTTTAACAGACATTGTCTACTTTAAAACCGTACGTGATTCTTTACAGGTTTAGGGTAAATATACGACACAGGAACACGTATTTTGTAGCTGGCCGTTTTTGTATCTTTCAATTAAATAACTTTCGTCCTTTAATTGTGTTGAGCAAGATGTAGATTTATTGGTTTGGCTTTGAAGAAGAGTCGCTATCTTAGGGCTTATAATCTTAACCGCACGAAGTAGAAACAACTACTCTAGTTGTAAGTAGTAGCCATCCCATGAAAAATTACCAGATAAAACGTAATCGGTTCGTAATTATTCTGAACTACTACAGTATTTCAAATTTAGATAAGACCCAGTGGTTTGTGTCCCTTTTACCGAAAGTAAGGTTTTCTTCTTGTGGTTCACGCAACGGTGGCCACATCCGTAAGCCAAAACGCCGAGTTAGGAATTCAAGTCATCAACAGTTACTTGAAATTTAAAGACTTTGGATTTCATTTTCAAAGTGGGGGCTGAAACTCTAAACTCTTCCTTTTTAACCCACTCCTATACCAACACATGCTTGTTTTGCTAACGAAATGATAGGTTTAGCCTCTAAATAAGTACTCTGAGCCGGCATTTTCAAAATGTCGAGCTTCTGCGCTCTATAATGCAAATTATTGCATAGGTTTGTACCCTCGTGAGCTATCTATCTGGCCTAAACAAAATAGCAGAGGCAGTGCCCAGTCACTTAGGTATTACTAAAATACTATTTTACTCTTCTTTCAGGGTTATAAAGTGTACTATACTACGCGCAAGGGATACCCCATCAGTGCGCGTCAGGTGAAACGTTCCGCGAACCAGAAAATTCATCTGCAAGATTTGCTCGCGAATGCCACTTACATTGTCAGCGTCAGCGCTTACAACGCAGCCGGGGATGGACCAATCAGCGACGACGTCTCCGTCCTCATTACGCCTGGCGGTAGGCATATTTCATGGACTACAAACATACTTTTTTTCAATTACTGTCTAACGTCTTGATGGGAGATTCAATGGTGTTAGATCTTAATTAGACGGCAAAGCGCAATAAGCTAGCAAACCTTATTGGATGAGCAAGTTGGTGACAAACTCGTGTGGACTCGACCGAATTAATTTAATAAGCAGTCGGTCCTGGACATACGTGACGCACAATCCAATCAAACTTTTACGGCTATAGGATAAAAATAACGCATATCATCTTTGTAGATAAGGAACTCGAATCTTAAATAAAACATGGTTTGATGAGATTAATGCGAACTTAAAATCATAGGTCCACGATAGTTGGTACATGCACTATGAATGTTGTTATAAACAACCGTTAAGCGGACTATTTTTTACATGCTTAGCTTCAATTTACGGCGGAAAAGGAAATAATTAACTGCTGTTAAACTGCTGATACTGTTACAAAGCCTTCCAGAAGCTGCGGCCATTTGGAAGACAATACAAATATGTATATATGGTCCAATATCTTGCCAATAGAATTCACACTGGTGTAATTCACTTAAACTAAATTTAATCAAGCACTGAGTTGGAGGTTCAAAGGTTATAGTGATACGTCTTGAATAACAACCCTGCGCGGGAAATTTGTTCATGCGTTATGACGGTGTAATGTTGCTAGCTATCTTTGCTCCTGTTCAAATACGACTGTGTGCTATGTGACGTTCAAGTGCATAAATCAGGACAGTCGTTCGTGCTCGTAGTCTGTCATTGATGGAAAATGCCCGACAAAGACCCGATTGTCTGGGTTTAGAAGCAGGAGAGACCTGCAAAATGTCTGTGGCGAATAAACCAGATACAGGCAGATGTAAGAAAAAGAAAGAAGTATAATATAGATGACTGTTTATTAATATTAATAAGTTTCTGAGATTGGCTAACACACTGAGACCCGTCGTTAAAAATAACGTATATTTATTTGATAAAATAAGCATCATTTATTTTGTAAAATGAAGTAAAGAACCCTACAAGTATGGATCGAAAAATAAATTAAATTTTTAATGCCGCTTCTTATGACATCTCAAAAACTAGGAAAGCGAATGTTGTTGAAATATGCAAACGAAGCATTTTTTTAGAAAGCACAGTTTCGATGAATCTGGGGCATTTTAATATTTTCTATGCAACTGAGACAAGTTAGAGCGGGTGCAACAAACAGAATTCGTCATTGACTATCTCTAACGTTAAAAGAGGTCCGAAATTACATAGGAATTACCGCCAATTCAGAACTTTACTATTTGTGACTGAATATCCTACTTTAACACAGAACTGTCACAAATCAGGCTTGGCTATCAGTTAATCAAAATCCTCATTCTCGTCACCGAGTTCATTATAAGTGAGCGACGAGCTAGCGATTTTATATCTTCTTCAAATCGTTGGCTCAACTTAGGAAACCAGACCACTAACCCCCCCCCCGGTCTTGCGTAGAGACTATGTCTTCCCGGTGTAGGTAGGGAAAATGCGATTCCCAAGTGGTAAGTCAGAAGGAGAAGAAAGAGCATTCAACAGAAGTTGTTTATTTTATATTCATTCGCTGAAGATGGGCGGTAGACGAAAAAACCTCCCGAAACGTCAGATTGAAAAGAAACCTCCTCTTGTGCACGCGTTTTCTACCTCGCAGTATAACTTCCATTTAGATCATTCAATTATCTCGTCAAATAGAAGGCCACCTGTTCATTGCCACCTACCACCCATACGAAGCTTGGGTAATTTTAACCAAAGGCAAATATCTAACGTCGCAACCGACAAGGTGGGGTTGCTTAGGGCCCTTAAATGGGGTGCTTCAAACGGCCACGTTCTCTAGAGTCAAATCGAATCACAACAGAGGCATAGAACGCCCAGATATCTTTTTAAACATTTCATCTGCTTCATAGACCGCGCAATCAGTGTAAGTCGTATCGCTTATGCTGTATACGTTGCCTTGGCATAGGTCTGCAGAGTATTATTTTCTAAATTACAATAACGCAGGATTTATTGGATCCATACACTTTTTGGAGCGCTCATCAGCTGCTAACCCTCACTGCATAACATGAATGGCGTAAGCGAAATGCAAGATTAAATTCATACAGAAAAATCGATACAAACCTGGAGGCATCCTATATACGGCCGTCAAAACCAGACCTACGTAAACGGTTGGAGCACGTGGTTAACGTAGCTTTGCCCTGGTAAAAGCCGGCTCACAGATTTATACAGTCTCCTTTCCAATTTATTTCCCCATTTTTGCTGCCCACAGTGTTTTAACTTTCCTACGTTTTTGTTTCGCCTGTTGGTCACATCCTATGACCCTGCAGTTTGTATCGATCTTCCTGTATGAATTCAATTTTGTATTTTCTCTTACGTCATTCATGTTAGGCAATGAGGATTAGCAGCTGATGAGCGCTCCTGAAATTTATCGATCCAATAAATCCTGCTTATCTTACAATTTACAAATTTGCAGCTGAAAGACTCTGCTTTAAAGTAGTAGTTTGCGCAAAATGTCCATGTTTTCTTCTGTCTGACGTTCCTGATTAGGCGAATATTTACTGTAATAAATAAAACCATACAGCATTTTTTTCAAAACTCAATCTCTTCTTCCCAGCCGCTTCATTGTCCTCTATTAAAACGCTCCTATCTGCCCCCTGGGTTTTAGTGTATTTAATGCAAGCAACAAAGAATTACACTTATGTAAACGGGCTCTCCAGAAAACCGCCCTTCCCCTTGTATCAGCAAAAAGAGCACTTTGCGATTTTCACTGATGTTCAACGCCGATAAGTGCACACACATTTATGCACATGTTCATGTGCCAAGCGATACTGGCGCCATGTCCGCCTACAGGCATTTTTCTCTCTGCTCATTGTCCAAAATGCTCTAAAGTTAATCGGTAGAGTCTAATAGTTGCTAATGAGAGTATCAGTGCAATTCATGAATACTCCATTGGCTGTTTCAGAGGCTTTTTTATCAAGGGACATTTTATAGGCCTAATGGATTATAGGAATAATAAAATTAATGGCCCGGTATAGTCTGTGGGAATTTCTGACAACAATTTGCATGGGATTCTAAGCAAGCATTATAGAATGCATAACTTAATTAAGATCAGATATATACGAATGAATAAAAACGTTCATGTTCCAGGTATTTGCATGGAAGAGGAAGAAGAGCTGTCCAGCACCGGATCAATTCTTTTATTGTCCTGAGCTTTCGAGCGCTTGCAAGAGACCATCGTCAGAGATAAAAGTGTCCACGAAAAACAGGCAACGGTTTTAGGGGGCAGGAGCTAATCCAACTTCAACGGGGGGGGGAGAGTCTACCGTCAGAAATAAAAGCGACCACGAAGACAAGCAATCGCTATAGGGGTAGGAGCTAATAAAACGCCATACGAGGAGGGGGGAAGTTTGAGAGGCAGGAAGAGGGGGGAAACTCATTGATCACCAGTGTCCGTCGTGCGAATGTTGATACGGAGGGTGATGTATGCGGGCGCCAACTAAATACATCTGTTCACTGAGATGTCATCCCAGGCCCAGGTTTCAATTAGTTAGCGTTCGGTCTTGCTCTCTGCGTGAGCAATTATCCTCGTCGCTGTGAGGTTAAAGTCGTGGCTTGTCTCATGGATGTGGGCAGCCACTTGCGACAGTGCGTAACCCCGCCTGATAGCAAGCTTATGTTCATGTATGCGCGAACCTAGGATGTTTTCAGTATGCCCTGTATAGTTACAAGGTCAGCTTGAGCATGGGATGCGGTACACTACCCCGGATTGTTCGTTGGGGTTCAGCGAATCTTTTATTTTCATTACCTGGCTGCGCATGGTAGCCTTGGGACGATGGGAAATTCCGACACCCAGTTCCGCGGCGATGGCTTCTCCCCCCTATACCTGTTGCCTGTTTTTCATGGACGCTTTTTATCTCTGACGATGGACTCCCGCGAGAGCCCGAAAGCTCAGAATAATAGACCAATTGATCCGGTGCTCGACAACTCTGCTTCCTCTTCCATTCAAATATATACCTTAATGCCGAATTCGACCAAATTATCATTACCACTGTATGAAATATCATCTTAGTCATCACCGCCATAAGAATATTCAGTTCCTCCCCCTTCTTCTTATGAAAAATAGCGATTAAAATCATGACTAGCATTGTCACATTTTCATCGTCAATACCACCATTTAGCCGCCAATGTTCTACTTTTCACAATTATCCCCCTGCTTTAGTAATCCTAATCATAGTACTGACCTCTGTTCTATTTTCAACTGTGCCCTTTGACATTCATACCTCCTCGTCTAAACCCCTGAAAATAATATTAACAAGGAAATGATTTATTCATATGCTTACGATGAATGTGATCAGGGAAGCCAGTTCAATGATCAGACTCTCCAGCCGCACAATCCCTTAACTGTTTTAAAAACTGTGGCTCTTTATGTTTTTTATTAATGCTTGCTGTTGGTACTTGTAATGTCACTGAAATTGTCGATGATGATGACCGTGTCGATATTGGTGGGTGGAGGCTCACCGGTTTCATACGGCACGCAGCCATCCCGTACTACCTTGTGACCCATGGTGGAGCCTCCTAGCAGTCCGACTGCATATAGTGGTATAGGCAGATTAAACTTTCCGACAAAGGCAAGGGAGACTAGAATGGTCATTTCTGATTTATCAGCTATCATCAGCTAGCCACACCCGACCCCACGCGGTGCATGACCCGACGCTCGGGCCCGCGATAAGCTTATAATGACGAAGACGGAAAATATTCTAATGAGGACGATGGTGTAGCGTACGATGATTTTGGTAATTAAACCCTAGAGAATTTTACTTAAGGTGACTAAATGTGATGAGGATGACGAGATGGTTATTTGGTAAAGAAGAAATTGGGTTGGATACCAGAGTGATTTGCTTGTTTTTCTGAGCTTTCGGACTCTAACAAGAGTTCATCATCAGAGATAGGAAGCAGCAACAAATGGAAGCTAGTTAGGGCGTGTGTACATAAAAAAAAGTTTGAGCGCGTGGAAAATCACTACTTGTCTGGTATGGGGCGCCGATTGGCCACTGCGGACTATGTCAGTCTGCGCCAGTAGGCGAGATCGGCGTGTTGGGTAAGCATATTTACAGAAATAAAATCGTCAACGAAAACAAGCAACATTTACTGGGGAAGGGGTCGATTAAACGTCTTAGGGGAGGGGACCACCTAACCAGCAGTGCCGTGAGTCTGGAGCTACCTTCGCAGGGCAACATATGCGGGCGCCAGCTCGATACATCTGTTGACTGAATTCCCGTCCGTGGACCAAGCTTCAATCAGTTCTCGTCCCGTCTTGCTGCCAGCGTGGGCAATTGTCCTCGTGGATGCAAAGTTGAACTCCTGACCCGTCTCGTAGGTGCGGGTTGCTACCTGCGATAAAATGTCACCCCGTCGAACAGCCAGCGTGTGTTCATTTATGCGCGATCCAAGCATGCTGACAGGCTAATTGTAGGTGAGTCGATATAGCCTGTGGAGCTGGCTGTGTTCACAATGACGACTTCGGAATGGACTTAGATGACAGTTACCTAGTTTACCTAACGATGATCGCTGATCATGCTAATCAGTATGACTATGGTCAAGAGGATGATGACAACTGTTAGGGTTATTGATCCAGCTAATGATTTAGTTCATTACATTGTTATCATGCCCCCTAAAGTGTCTTATTAACATTGGTAGTGCGTTAGGTTTTCATAATGGTATCGAAAAGCTGATGGTGTGTTTTGTCCATGATCTTGGGGACTGAATGACTGATTGCCCATAATGTGCTATTAGTCATCATCAAAAGGTGTACGAAATCCCACAAGCTGGAGCTTAAAACTAAGCACAAGTTGACTTACGAAGGGACATAGCATCATGTGTGGTCTGTAATTCCTATCAGCCCATCCAGGGGGAAAATAGTTAACACCCTTCTACAACGCATGGCATTCTCTCTCTGTCATACGCTGCAGTCATTTTGCCAGTCAAACAAAAACGCAGGCCTGTCACACATTCAGTAAATATGTAGTTAACGTTACATTCGCTAAGTCAGGCTGTACAGTTGTTAACGCGCGGAAAACTCTAGACATACAAACCAACTGTTTTTGGTAATTTTTATCTTCAGTTATCTCTTTTTCCCCAACACGCACTTGTCCGGATAATCTGTAAGAGGTGTCTCACTGATGCCTTTGTGGTAACAACCAGTCTGGACTGTTCATTGATTTTGTTGTGTCATCGCTTTAGCACGTTCAGGTGTTTTGGCCGTAGATTATTGCAGTCTTTATACTCATTTGTTATGTGGGCCTTCCTATATGTTCGAATCTCTCAGATGGACCATTTACTATTTAAGAGGTCATTTGTTAAGGTACATGAGTCTTGTTGACGGTCAGAAAGCAGCTGGCTAAAAAGCCGGCATCCTTTCGTGACTGAAAGAGCTTGAGAATAGACAACAAGATAATCAGTAACCTTACTCAATGCCGATTAGCGAAAGTGTATAAATATTTCGCATATATCCGCATGTTACAGGAATGTTAGGCCGTACTGTACTTCCTAGAACTCCTATTTTCACTTTAATCACAGCTGTCAACGTCCATGCGGATTTGATGATTGTCTGAAGTTTAAGAAATGCATATTTTACATAAACTAAAGAATACAGATCCCTATCAGCTTTGCTAATAACCTTAACTATCTATGGAAGCCGAACTGACCAACATGGGATCGTTTTCTCAACGCCAAACCGCAGCAAGTTTTGCTTTTTCCTATGAGTGATGATCAGAATTGGCTGACCAAAGGACCACCAAGGTTTTCATTTCGATCATGGGCTCACTTTTGACAAAAATTCGTGCACAATTTATTTTTCCGTTTTGTCAGAATTAATATCCCATAGTGATCCCAACACTATTTGGTTAGTGGTTACTGCATTGACTTACTCGACCACATCATTAGCATTCTCACCTCTATTTGTTTCTTCTTTACGCTACTTTTTGGGTTGTGCCTTCAAACGAAATATCTTCATTGTCTGTGCGTCCCTTAATGTGTGCTTTATTGAGTCAACATTTCAAACACCGTATCTGACAAGGTCTAGTATGTGCTCCTGATCAGGATGAAACAGTGTTGGTCACATGCGCGTCACGAAGTGTTAAGTAACAGTGAACTTGCACTGCGCCTGCCTCACTTTCTCTTCCCCCACATACCTTTACCCGATGTCGAGGAAAAGTCAAGAATATCGTAGATGAGGTAGGCAGCAGATGGCTGGCGCACGGTGAGTTTTTACAGTAAGCACCAGAATTCGCGCAACATGCCGGCATTTGTGGAAGACTAATTCGCTTTCGCTCATCAGCGTTGACTCAGGTTGTGATACTGATTATCGTGTAGTCTATCCTGAAGTTATTTTAGACATGATAGGATGCGAGCTTTTTAACGAGCTTCTTTCTGACCACTAACAAAACGTTTGTATTGCTAAAAGTAACTACTTTAATAGCACGTGTTTTTATCACTCACTTTGACTGCCTTTATAAATGCAAATCTATTTTATGGAAAAGATGCATGAAAAAATATTCCTTGTACTCTTTTGGTAGCAAATTACGCCTTCTTCAAATTTTATACTTAAAGAAAGTGTATCCTTTGGTTTTAGAAAAATTTCTAATTATATGCTTTTTTTTACATTTGTGAGGTGTTCATTCGTAATACATCGTATCCGTCATTTTATTAATGCTGCCTATTATGTATAAAGCATGCTTCACATCTATTGCAACATTTTATGCGAACTATGTGACTTCTTCCTCAAACTGTATGCAAAAACGTACTTTTCCTTAAATAGGATGTACATATGTCAGCATGTTGCACGAATTCTGGTGCGTACTGTACTTACGCGTGTCACCACATCTCCATTTGTGGTGTTTATGTTGGGAACGCATCCCGAATAACGCCTGTCGTGTCCCCATATTGGACTACATGTGGGTTCCATCCCGCCACACGGCGCACTCCTAAACCGGCTTCGCATTACCAAGCCCATTGTTGCCAACGGTCTCGCACTCGGTCCCGATGCCTGCATGCCGCGAAAACTCCTGGCCTGTTTCTGTTCTCCTTAGAGTCAATTTTTATGTGTAAAATCCCTGCAGGGGGAATAATATTTCAGTAAATATTCTCATGTTTGCTTTGAAAAGTCGGTTTGGCAGACATAGGTTTTCAGCAACCCTCCTCATCAGGCCGGTACATTTGCGAGGATAATGAAAATTGTACAGTTGGACAGGATAAATAAGTGTTCTTTTTTACCACTCATTGTTTTCACGCCGTCCGCATGGTGAGATCGGTGTTAAGAGGTTCGTTTGCTCGGAAAGGGGAAGGGGAGGAAATTGGGTGAGGTTGTGGGCATTGAGCAGGGGTCAGCTACGTAGAGTGATAATCAGTGTCAGTTACCTTGAGCGAACGACTGTCACTAGGCTGTGGGGCGATTTGCGATCGCCACGTGGCGTCGGCTTAAGCCACGGAAGTTGGCTTAACTTGACTTCTTGAATGCTTACATGGGTATCATCGCTGAGCAGTTGTCTCGTGGGCCCGCCGACGAGTTAGTGTTCCACGCTGACCACGTGGTTCCTGGTCGGCCCTCTCCTGTTTTCCCCTGATATCACTTGTGTCTTTCATGCGGGAGCGTTTGTAGTTGAATTGGTAAGCTGAGGAACTAACATGAAATGTATCGATAAATTCAACAAAATTAAATTTAAAAAAATTGAAAAGGTTATTCGGCAAACATGTGTTTTCAGCAATTTATCATCGGGCTACTAAAATTGCAGGGATAATTAAAATTGTGCAGTTGGGCAGAGTTCATAAGTGTCTTGTGATTATGATTCATCGTTTTCGCGCCATCCGCATGGCCAGATCGGCGCGTAGAAGGCATTGTGCTGGGGGGAGGGGATAGGAGAGGAGATAAAGATAGGTTTTGGTCTTTGATCAGGGGTCAGGTACATAGATTGATAATTGATGTTATTCGCCAGGAGCGAAATACTGTCACTAGGAGGTAGGGGCGATATGAGATCGCCGCCTGGCGTCGGGGTCGGCCACGGAAGTGAAAGCGCTTGTGTTAGCGTCTTCTGACAACACAGCACCGGATTCGCTAGCTGGTTAGTCACTGCTTCGGCTGTTGCAAGCACTCGTTGACGTAAGCTCTTGCAGAAATTGACTGGTGTCTGGTAGACGACCTGAAGGGCTTCGTTTAAATCGGCTCGATGCTTCGTATCGAAAAGGTGTGCAAGAACAGAACTTAAGATCGATCTAGTTTCACCCTTACTTAACCAGGCCGGTATGTGCTCACATACCCCCTTTTCTAGGCGCTCCGTTGTTCGGCCGATGTATTTTGTTCCACAGGAGCAAGTGAACGAGTAAATGAACATGAATGTGGCCTTCAAGGGGAGTTAGTCTTTACCTCCCAATCGTAGTAGGGGAGAGTTGGTAAAAAAACATGCATAAGTTCGCCGCAGGGAAAGCGCTTGCGATCGCAGGCTTCAGGCGTCGTCTGACCAGCTCGCTTCTTGCATCGCCTAAGAAAGACACTCTTATAAACACGTCTTTATTTCCTGCGGTTAAGGTAGCAAGCTTTTTGGCGCGTTCGCCAATAGTCCTGAGGATGAATATCACGAATAATATACTATTATTATGACGTTAAATGTCATCAGCGCAAGGGCGTTCCCCCTCCCCTGCCCCTCGGTCTCTTTACCGCGCCGTCCTGCCACCCGCATACAATCACACCCACTGGGGAGGTTTTGGTTGGAAGAGCTATTGTCGTCTGGGCAAGGAAGATTAGAAGTGGAGAGTAGTTGTCTCTCGGCATTTGACTGAGCAATTAATAGATCTGCAAGCGGATGAAGTGTGTTGTGGCAAATAAATCGGCAGGCAAGCGGGAAAGAAACATGTCTGCAAGGGCGGACTGACCTAGGAGGCTACTGGGCAAACGGATTTGCATGGAAACATCGTGGAAAATCTGGACAAGAAGTGTAGATCGACAGGAAAGGAGGGACGAGGGAAGGAGGCAGTTGGAGGAGTCCAAAAGGACAAAGAAGAAAAAAACAACTTTAGGGATGGGGTGTGTGTCAGTGATGGGAGTATAAGATTGGGAAGACGATGAGTTAGGAGAAGAATTTAATACAAACTTGTAAAGATAAGGAGTAGGCCAACAATGCTTTCTGCTCTAATAAGGGAAGAGGGTTGGCGCTCTGAAAAATAATTTTATTGAACCTACACCGAAATAATAGTAACAGTAGAAGTGGGGTGTTTGTGGCGGACGGCCACAATGCATGGTCCTCTCTCCCCCCCCTTCGATCTTCAATGTCTGCGGCCCCCAACGTCCTCCGTCCTTGCACGCAGCTGTTCGACTCCCTGAACTTAAATCGTTTGATCATACTGTAAACCCCTCAATTTGTTCGTCGTATGGGGGAGATTTGTACCCGAGGCCCCTATATTGCGACGTGTCCGACGTTCTTGTTCAAGGCCAGCTGCCTCAAGGTCATCTACTGCCTCGTTCAGCGCTTTCAGACGCGCTGACCTGCAGAGACTTGACTGACTTCCACTCGGACACAAACACGTGCGTCCAGGTAGTCGCGGCTACCGGAGCGCCGCTTTAACACTTTGA